GAGGAGGAGGTAGGAGGTAGGAGGGAAGAACGAGGAGGGAGGAGGACAGGGGAGAGGGAGGAGGACGGGGAGAAGGGAGGAGGGAGGAGGAGGAGGAGAGGAGGAGACGCGGGAGGAGGAGGTGCCCCGAAGGGACAGGAGTAAAGGATGAGGGAGGAGGAGGAGGAGGAGGGAAGGGAGGCGGGAGGAAGGGAGGAGGGAGAAAGGGAGGAGGGAGGAGAGATGAGGGAAGGGAGGAGGAGAAGGGAGGATTGGAGGAAGGAGGAATGAGGGAGGGGAGAAGAGGAGGGGAGGAAGGAGGAAGGAGGAGGCGGGAGGAGGGAGGATGAGGAGTATGAGGAGGAGGAGGAGGAGGAGGAGGAGGAGAGGAGGGAGAGGAGGAGGGAGGAGGGAGGGAGGAGGAGGGAGGATGAGGCGGAGGATGGGGCGGAGGCAGAGAGCGGAGGAGGAGCAGGAGGAGCAAGAGGGTGGGGGAGGAGGAGGTAAATGATGACGAGGAGGAGAGGAGTAGGAGGAGGAGGAGGAGGAGGATGAGGAGGATGAGGAGGAGGAGGAGGAGGAGGAGGAGGAGGGGAAGAAGGATAAGACGAATAAGGATCAGAGGAGGAAGAGGAGTAGGCGGGGGAGGGGGAAGGGGAGGGGGAAGGGGGTGGAGGATGGGGGGGAGGCTGCATACGGCACTGGATGAGTCACTCGTTGCCAGTACCTTTCCCGAACAGGTTTGACAAACATCAGATCATAGTGCCCCGAACGGGACAGGAGGTGAAGGATGAGGAGGAGGAGGAGGAGGAGGAGGAGGAGGAGGAGGAGGAGGGGGAGGAGCAGGTCTGTGTGGTGCTTTTGGCTTCTTGGAGCGTCCTGGATGCCTCGGGGGGTGGGCTTGGATGGTCGTTCGTGAGTCCCTGTTGGGGGGCGCCTCCCTGGTGATGCTGCGCGCCGCCCTGGTGATGGACCCCCTGTGGGCTCTCCTGGGGCCACCTTGGAGGAGATCGATCAACGAACGGGGGGTCGGAAATTCCCCCGTTCTCCCCCCTCCCCCGCCATCGGAGGCTCCAATATTACCTCTCGTCGGCATCTTGGGCCGCTCTTGGGCGCCCCTGGGGCCGTCTTGGGCCCCTCTTGGGCAATCCTTGGGCCCCTCTAGGGCCACTGTGGGGCCATCTTGGGGCCCACGAGGCTCCTCGGAAACGAAGAAGCGAGACGCCCAAGCACGTAGATGTTCCTTGAGTTTGCAGGGTGCTGGCCTCTCGGGGGGTGCCCAGGGAGGTTCGAAGGGCACTTCGACCCCCCTTGGGGCCGTCATGGGGCGTCTGAGAGGCTTACCAGGGGCCATGTTGAGCGATGGTGGGGTTTCTTGGGCAATCTTGGTGGCCGTCTTGGGCTGCCTTGGGCCCTCTCGGAGCCATCTGGGGCCATCCTGGGCGCTCTGACGGCTCCGTCCCCGACACCCCTTGTATAGCAAGCTGTTTAGCTCACACCCACCCGCCCTCCCAACGCATGAGTGATTAACACCCGAGCCTGAGCATGTTCAGCGGTCGTCTTTGGATGGACAGCTACTGGGAATCAAAACCGACCCCATGTGCGCGACGCTGGGGCGAGGTGCGCCAAGCGTGCCAGGCGCGCCACGCGCGCCAAGCACCCCTGGGGCCCGAGCGTGCCAGGCACGGCTGGTGCGCCAGATGCGCCACGTGCTCCGTGTGCACTGGGTGTCCCGCATTCTCCAGCCGCGCCAGGTGCGCCATCTTCGGGGCACGTGCAGAGTGTGTCATGTGCGCCTGCGCACGTGACAGCACACATCGGGAACTATGTCGGCCCCCACCATGTCGAAAACCAATGCCCATCATCGTGTCTGGTGGGCCTGCGCACAGCAAGCTATACGCCACCACCTCCGCCGTCCCTGTCAAAACCATTTGACAGTGATCGCGGGGTGGCCGCCCATGGTCCAGATTTAGCCGTGAGGTGCATTTTGGATTGTTTTGTGTTAGGAATGGTAGCCCTGTGCACAGCAGGCATATGCTGACACCCCCGCCGTCCCTGTCAAAAGCAATGCAACGTGCTCGCGGGCCTCACGAACATGACCCCAGGCTTTTCCCAAAGTTTACCCTGTATGGTTTTTTGGCAGGGATCGTGGGGGGGACTCATGGTGTCCTCATTGTTCCTGGTTGGCTGCCGGTCGCCTGGGGGAGGGGGTGTGTATTAATAGGGAACAGTGATAGACCCCTCCCCCCGACATGGGAAGGAGGGTCTGTGGCATGGAACTCCGTTAGACCACTCAACCAAGAGGGCTGGTGGGATTTCGCGGACGGTAGTCCACGGGTCAGCCTTAGTCAATTACTGCGTTGGGATCAGCGCGTGCGAGAAGGGGAGGCAGTGGCCTCTGGCTTTGGCACTGCTCAGCGCAATGCGGGATACGGAGGTGAAGCCTAACGCACATTGCTTCACCGCTGGGATCAGCGCCTGCGGGAAGGGCGAGCAGTGGCAGGGGGCTTTGACGCTGCTCAGCGCAATGCGAGACGCCAAGCTGGAGCCCACAGTCATCAGTTACACCGCTGGGATCAGCACCATAAAAAAGAGCGGACAGTGGCAACTGGCTTTGGCGATGCTCAGTGAGATGCGGGACGTGGAGATGGAACCCGACGTTATTTGTTACAACGCTGGGATCAGCACTTGTGAATCGCACGGACAGTGGCAACCGGCTGTGGCGATGCTCAGTGAGATGCGGGAAGCGGGGATGGAGCCCGACATCATTTCTTACAGCGGTGGGATCAGCGCGTGCGAGAAGGGGAAGCAGTGGCAGCGGGCCTTGGCGCTGTTCAGCGAGATGTGGGAGGCGAAGCTGAAGCCCGACGTCATCTACACTATACTGCTGGGGCCAGTCCGTGCGACAAGGACATCAGGGATCATTAGTTTGTTCCGTCCCGCCTTGGAGGTTGCTCTCATGTCGCGCCGCCGATCTGGGCGCTCCGAGAACCTCTGCATCCAGTCGACCAGGCCCTATGCGGGTCTCAGAGCTTCTGGGCCTGCGCCCGCAAGCCCCCAAGAGGCGTGCGAGGCCCGTCCTGACCTCACAGGCCCGAGGACCCCCCAAGAGGAGTTCCATGGTTTTTCTCTTCTCTACCGTTTTCGCCTCCACCGTAGTGTGGGCCAGTGATGAAGAATTAAACGACCCCCCTTGATTCCATCGTAGGAGCGACCACGGATAGACATCCGGGGAACCAGTTTGTTGATGCTATCGGAGCTCTCTCCGCGTCCGTCCATCCCCTCGTTCTGCTCCTGCCTGCCATGCTGTGGCGTCCTCGTCGTCGTCGTCGCAGCAGCTGTCCACTGCGGCCCTGCGCGCCCCCCCCCCCCTCTATGTGGAGAGTTTCTCAGAAGGACTTAGGCGACCCGTCCTCCTCCTCCTCCTCCTCCCCCTCCTCCTCCTCCTCCTCCTCCTCCTCCTCCTCCCTCCATCTCCTCCTCCCCCTCCTCCTTCACCTCCTCCTCATCCCCCTCCGCTGGTCGCCTACGACCCGGGGACAACCGTGCACCCATATGGAGCATCCGTAGCGCGTCGTCGTCAGTCGTCAGTCGGTGATCCTCGCCCCCGCCGCCGTCGTAGTTGACTACATGGGGGCCTGCGAAGCACACGCCCCGCCCCCATGGGGCATCCGCTGTAGTGCGTCGTCGCCGTCGTCCACGGCGGCCCTGCGCAGCGCCCTCCCCCGACCCCCCCTCGAGGAGCGTCCGCAGCGCGTCGCGTCGTCGTCCGTCGTCGGCGTCGTCGCCCCCGCAGCCGTCGTCGCCGACGAACTGCAGCGGGCCTGCGCAGCAGCCCACCCCCCCCGAAAGGGGCATCCGCAGCGCGTCGTCGCCGTCGCCGTCGCGGTCGCCGTCGGCGACGTCGTCGTCGTCGCCGTCGCGGTCGCGGTCGCCCTTCGTCGTCATCGTCGTCGCCGTTGGCGCCTCGGCCTGGTGGAGAAGCAGGCGGACGAGAATGAAGGTATCTGATGGAGACCGGCAGGCGAGAAGGAGGGCAACACATCGGAGGCGCAGTTTTGCGCTGAACGCAGGCCTGCGCGCCGCGCAGAGGATGCAGGGCATCCCCTGCGGGGCTGGTCTATTCGTTGCCATCCCGCCGCGGCTGAAGTGGTTGTACTAGTGGTCGATCTGTTTTGCTTAACCTTCAATCGGGGAAACGCAAGACCCGAGTAAGCCGGAGCTCGGGTTTACAGACGTTTTTTTGACGAGCGCGTCCTGGATTTTGATGGTCCAGTTTTCGTGGGATGTCTGCAGCGGGAGCTCGCGTCAAATTTCAGATTGGGCCTCGTCATTTTTATGATGGCCCCGTCGGGCCAACCCGAGTCCCCCGTACCCGAGTCTTACGTCTCCCCGATTCAACCCACATTGCCCCGACATTGCATGTCAGTCGCCCGACGCCGTCGACTAAATACTGCCTCAGGCGTGCCCCCAGGGCGCCCCACGGAGCTCCCAACAAGGACGGGTACGGCAGATGCGGCTCCAAGAGAGCATTCGTGTGGCCCCGCAGCTCTAACGGAGGGCCCAAGACGGTCTGGGGTGCCCTTGGCATCGCTCGGACGTGTGCATTTTTCCTTCGGCGAGGATCATCGAAGAGCATCCTTGACCATTTGGCGAAAGAACCACGCACGAAACCGAACAAAAACGCAGGGAATGGACGTCCGAGCGATGGCCAGTGCCCAGATTGCCCGGTGCAGCCCCCAGAAGGCGCCACGACAACCAGCAGCATCAGCAGACGGGCAGCAACAACAGTAAGGAGCAGCAACAGTAAGCAGCAGCAGCAGCAGTTGCAGCAGATTTTTTTTGGCCGTAAGCCCACAATCACTTGTCAGCTGTTTCGGCCGCATGTCCACAATCATGTGCCAGTCCGTTCAGATGTCGTGGGTGTAGTCTGCGGGCCAGCCCGAGTCGCCTACAATGCTGGGATCAGCGCGTGTGAGAAAGGCGGGCAGTGGCAGCGGGCGCTGTCACTGCTCGGCGAGATGTTTGGGGCGAAGGTGGAGCCCGACTTCAGTATGTATGCTCCCGCCGATGCTGGTCGCTGCGCGTGCGAAGCAAGCCGCGCGTCGAAGCTGTCCCGTCTTCTCCTGGCGGCCTGGTCGGCCTTGCCCAGGGCCCCGCGGTGCCCAGAGGAACGTCTGGAGCTTTGGACTCAACGCAGCGGCCCCACACAGCTCTTGCGCGAGCTCCCCTCAGGTTTGGCCACATGCATGCCGAGGCTCATTAGGCTTAAGCCATCGTCCTCCCTCCTCCCTGCTCCCTCCTCGCCCCCCTTGTTTTTGTCGATCCCTGCCAGATAGTGCTGGAGTCGATGGGGTCGGAGAGTCGGGCTACATCGCCGATGAATCAGAGATTCGACTCGGTGTGGACCCCGATGCTGTTCCACCCCGACGTCGCCGAGGCATCGCCGAAGTCGCGGATGCCTCGCCCATGCATCGGTGACGTGTCAGCGATGCGGCGCGATCCCCCCACTCTTCCGGGTCGGATCCCATTTGGGAGGCTCCATTTTAGCGCCCCTCGCGTGCCCCTCTTCGCGTCGCCCCCTCTCGCCCTGGACCTGCAGCGGGTCCGTAGAGCTCTCCCGCCCTCTGTGAGACCTCCAGGTGCTGGTTGGCCTGACCCTTTGCACGTTCTGCACCCTCGTGCGCTCTTGGCATGCCCCTCGCCCTTCTCTCCCTTGGCATGCCTCTCGCCCTTCTCCCCCTTCCCCTCCTCCTTGGCATGCCCCTCTCCCCCTTGGCATGCCCCTCGCCCTTCTCTCCCCTCCTCCGCGCCTCTCCCCCTCCCCCTGCCTCCTCGCCTGCTGCTCGCCGCCCCGCGGTGGCACGCCTCCCGGCTCCCCCCCCCCCCAGTTCATTGTTTTGCTGATTTTGTTTCTCTCCAACACGGAGGGGGAGGAGGAGGGATCCGCTGCCCTTCCAGAGGGCCACCTATCCGGGAGGCACACCATGACAAAAACAACAACGCTGCGGTGAGCATCAAAGCTGGGAGCCGCCTCGTACAGGCGGGCGGGACTTCTTGGTTCAGCGCGCCAAGGAAAAACAAAAAAGTTCATTGTTTTGCTGATCGGTGCGGGCCCCCAAACACTCCCCTCCCCCTCCCCCTATAGAGTAGAGCCTGGCCGTTTTTTGGCGCCTGCATCGAGCAGGTGGAGTCTCCTCCATGGGGCGGACTGCTGCAAACAGACGCATTAAGCAGATGTCCTGAGCCAGACCCCCCCCCTTCCCCCCCCCCCCCTCCCCCTTTCCGCCCAATGTCGAACCGCCGAATCCGAAAAGCTCACCGTGTCTTCGCTCGTGCATCGGCACTCCTCGTGTTTCGGCTCCGCCTGGCGCCAAGAAGGGCCCAGGATGCTTTGCAGGATGGCGTGGGCGAACGCACCTGTCTGTATCCGCGGCCCTTGCGGGTCGGGCCCCTGGGGCCGCGGCCCAGCGGGAACGGAGCGTTTTTTCTCGTGTGTGCCCCGCGCGGAGCGTGCCCCGTGCGACCGCGAGTCCACGGGATCGCGCTTCGGATAGGTTCGCCGCTCGGGAGGAGGCCCCACGAGGGCCTTCAGGAGGCCGAAGACCCCAAAAGATTGCCCAAGCTTGCTCCAAGACGGCCCCAGATGAGGTCTGGGGCGGCCCCAGGTGGCCTCAGATGGTCCCCAGGCCCGTCCAGACGGCCCCCTATGGCCTCCCAGATGGCCCCGCGATGCCCAGAGGAATCCGAGGATGCACAGAGAGGCCTCACGAGTGCCCAACAGGGGCCGAACATGGCCCCCGCAGGCTTCAAGAGAGCTCCCGTGAGACCTGCCCCTGTCCCTAAGAGATAGGCCCCGAGATATCTCATCGGCCTCCTGGATGGGGTCGGAGGATCGCGCCGCCTCACCGATGCATCGAGAATGCGGCTCGATGTGGAGCCCGTGTTCCCCCACGCCAACGTCGCCGATGTATCGCCGACGTCGCCGATGCATCGACGATGCATTGGCGATGCGGCGCGATCCTTTGACCCCATCTAGTCGGACCCCATCTGGGAGGCCTCTATTCCCCCTATGCACCAAGACATCTCTCCTCGTTCGGTCCCCCAGGAATGCTGGAATACCACAGATGTCCCCAACCTCGCTCCAAGGGCCCCCCCACCGAGGCCACCCACAAAGCAGCCCAGGGATCTCAGTGCCCTCGATGCAGAAGCCCAATATTCAGCAGCACCACCAGCAGCACGCAGCAGCAATTCCCATCATACAGGAGAACAGCATGAACAATCAGCACGTTTTGACGAGAGGCAGAAAGCGGCAGCGAGCAGCAGCAAGCCGAGGGACATCGCCGATGTTTCGTTCGTGGACGTAGTCCACGAGCCAGTTCTAGTCGGCTACAGCGCTGGGATCAGCGCGTGCGAGAAGGGCGAGCAGTGGCAGCGGGCCTTGGCGCTGCTCAGCGAGATGCGAGAAGCGAAGCTGGAGCCCAGAGTCATAAGTTACAGCGCCGGCATCAGCGCGTGCGAGAAGGGCGAACAGTGGCAGCAGGCCCTGGCGCTGATAGATGCGATGGCGGAGGCACAAGTGGAGCCCGACGTCATCAGCTGCAACGGTGCGATCAGCGCGTGCGCGAAAGGCAAGCAGTGGCAGGGCGCGCTCGCCCTGCTCAGCGCCATGCGGGAGGCGAAGTTGGAGCCCAACGTGATCGGTCTTTTCTGGATTCCCTTCGGGGATCATCCGTTAAAATTGGAACGATACAGAGAAGATTAGCATGGCCCCTGCGCAAGGACGACACGCACACATCGAGAAGTGTATACATATTTTCCTTTCTTTTTTAAAACATTTTTTGTTGATCGGTCTTTTTTTATTGCGCGACCAGTGCGTGCGAGAAGCGCACGTGTGCAGTGCAGGCGACGTTCCGCGGATGCACGGCGGAGCGTCCACGGGGGAGCCCGCTGCGAGCCTCGCACGCCGCCCCGTCGCGCCGAGCACGGCCCACGATGTGCCCAGGGCTGCTGGGAACCCCGCCCGGATGCCCCAAGACGGCTCACGATGTCCCCGTGTGAGCCCGGGGCGATGCCGAGACCCCCCTCCTGGGCTCCTGGACGGCCCTTTAAAACACGCCCCCAGGCGCACCGCCCCATCCACGCCTTCTGTGCGTACCCACCGGTCCTTGAAAGCATGTAGTTTGGGATCCCTAGGTTCTAGTGTATATATATAAAGAGAGAGAGAGAGAGAAAGAGAGAGAGTGAAAACACAAAAAAGTGTGTATATATATATATATATACATATGTATATGTATATATATATAATACGACACTGCAGTGGCGCTTCGCGCCATGCACCTTGGTCCTTGAAGTTTGGTATGCAGGCGGAACAGCAGGAAGGTCAAGCCGACAATTTAGCGACAACTCCTGGTTGCCTTTTCTGGCATCGCCGCTATAATAATGTTATTCGTTATCCTTCCTCCATGTTTTTTCTTTATTTTCGCCATGCCCTGCGCATTCTCCCCATCCTCCTCAGCTCTTTTTTGCGGAGGCTCCTCCTTGGAGAGCCTCTAGGGGGGGGCTCACAAAAGTTGCTTCAGGCTTTCTTAAGGCCTTCTGGAGACCTCCTGGCCGTATTCTGGGGGCCTCTGGGGGCTTCCTCGGGCCACCTTGCCTCCAACCGCGGTCTCCCTGAACGACCGAATCACGATTTGGACTTCTTCGGAGGGTGTCTTTGGGCCATCTTGTGCCGCTATGGGGCTCTCTGAGGGCCATCTTGGACCCGTGTTGTGCCGTTTTGGGGCTCTCTTGGGCTGCCTGGAAGCCCTTTCGGATGGTTGTGGGGCGATGTTGGAGCCTCCCAGGCGGCTTCGGACGCCCAGAAGACCGCCGTCTTGGAGCGTCGGGAAGCCGAAAAGAGGAGAACCCTAAAATTCACCAAAAACCCATAGAACATCAATGATTTTTGCCTCGGGGGGCCTTCTTGGGAGTGCTCTTGGAGGCCTCTTTGGAGCCGTCCTGGAGGCCTCTTGGGCCATCTTGAGGTCACGTCGGTCACTCTTGGAGCGCTCTTGTGCTGTCTTGGGGGTCTCTGGGACGTCTCCGATGACCCCCCTGATCGCCCTAGGTGTGCTGGGAAGGCTTGGCAAAACGCCGTGTGAGGCCCGGTGGCCGCTTCGAGGCCCGTCTGGAGGGTCCCAAAGCCCCAGATCCCGGGAGTCCGGTTTTGGGGGAGGGGGGGGGGGACGAGTTTTCCCCCCGCCCGGGCTTACTAAAATATAGGACGAGGAATAATGTGATATAAATACACAGGCCCCCCCCGGCCCTGGGTCCCACACCTCCCCGCGACACCTCGGGGACGCTCCTGGTACCGCTCCCCCGGCTTCTCCGGAAAGTCTCGAAGGCATCTTGGGCCCTAGTGGGACGACCTTGGGCTCTGTCAGTGTGCGCGTGGACTATCTGGGCACGCCGTTCGGGCTCCCGGGGGCTTTCTTGGAGCTCCTTGAAGGCTCCGGAGACCACAGGGGGGCTTCGGAGCCCGAACGCCCACCCGAACGCCCCGCCCCCTTAGGATGGAATTTCGGACCCTCGGGGAGGGGGGAAGGGGGAGGGGGATACCCAAATGTCTCACACGACTTTTCGCCCCGGAGTTTGTGGCTATTTATGTGCGCGTCCTGGGACCCCTTTCAGATAGCTGTTTTGGGGAGGTGGAGGTGCGTTGTTCTCTCGGCGGCGAGCGAAGGGGGGGAAGTGAGAAGGAGAACGGCCCTTCAGAAGGTTCGGAAGTCCCCCGGCCTTCTGAGAAAATTCTCTGGGCCTTCTCCGCAGACCAAAGAAAAAAGCTTCTCGGAATGCCGGGGGCCTTCTGAGAAGTCCCGCCGCCTTCTGAGAAGGCCTTCTCCTTCTCACTCCCGCCCCCCTGGGCGCGCGGCCGAATATGAGTCAAAGTCTGTCCCCGAACCCCTCCTGGGGACCATCCGACGCGGTTTTGCACTCCAGATCGAGTTTCGGGCGTCCCGGGGCCCGGAAGCGGCCCCCAGAGGCCGAAAACTACAAGCAACGTCCCGAACCTCGAAGTTCGAACCTCGAACCCCCCCCCCCCTCGCCTCCTGAGAAGGCCTTCTCCTCCTCCTCGTGTTTCCTCAGGTCGGGCAGGTCCTGCTACAGGCGGACCATGGGCGAAAAGTGACTAACAGTCAGAAAAAAATCAAAGATAGTCAAAAATAACTGAAACAAAAACATCATCCCCAGGATAATGACGTTCTGACTATGCTTGAGGCGCTACGTGCAGTGGGAGCTCGAGGCTCGGCTGGCACACCCCTAGCACGGTTCGTTGCCTCATAGGGATCACCACCGAAAAAGTGGATCAGAATTGCGGTACTCACACCTGCATATGGTTGGGTCCTTCGTCAGGCTAATTTTGAAAGTGCCCCCCTCCGCTCGCCGCCGAGGGCTCCGCTGCCGCGGCCGCGCGGGGGGGGGGCGGGCGGCGGGCCTCCGCCGCTCGCTGGCGCCTCGGGCCGTGGCCCCCGCGGCCTGCCCAGGGAGAGAGGCTTCGCGAGCTCGCGCGGGGCGCCTCCGCATGGGGCCAGCCGGCCGCGCTGCGGTCACATAGGAGGCGCCTTCACATAGGAGACGCCTTCACATAGGGGACGCTGTGTATATATGAATATGTGTGTATACATATATATGTATGTGTAAATGTGTATATATATATATATATGTAGAAGAGGGGGCGTGCGCTTCTCGGCGAGGGGAAAGTGGTCGAGGTGAGGAGGAGCGTGGGGATCAGGAGGGCGAGGCCCGCGATGGGGGAGAGTCAGGATAGAGAGAGGGTCGCGCGGGTGAGGATCGGGCGAGCGTGGAGCAGAGGGGTGCGGATGTGGAGAAGGAGGGCCAAGCTCGCGCGAGGCGCCTCCACATAGGATTAAGTCGGGCGTGTCCCTCTACAGGAGGAATGCCAAAAGATAGTCAAAAAGTAGCATGGGGACAATTAGCTAAGTATTTTCGTGCATTTGGAATCTGGTCTAAACTATGTTTTAACTCTCGCCCAGAATCCGCCTGCAGGGGGGCACGCCCGACCGAAACATAGGAGGGCAGAGCCGACCTGCTCCGAGAGGACAAATTCAGGCGATCGCAGACATGGATCAAGGGGGGCGTGGATTGGCGACGGGCCCCGTTTCCATGGGAATTCGCGGATTCCCGCCGCCGAGCCCGATCCATAGGTTTGGCGACCGCGCGCCAAATCCATGGATCGCTAATCCATGTCTGCGCGCCCCCGATCAATGTCTCGGGCCTATGCCACCTATATTTTTCTTATGTGCTAGCCACGAGCGTCTGCACACACAAGCTGGGTGTCGCTGCGTATACAGATGCACTCGGCAAGGATGCGTCTATAGGCAACGTGGCCGTTGCGTTCGGCGCAGTGCGAGGTCGGAGAAAGGGTAGATCCATCTACGGTACGTTATTGTTCTGTAGCAGGTCCCATATGGCAGCGCCTGCAACACGGCTCAAGTTGGCCCAGAGACGGCCCAAGAGTGCCGCAAGGCGGCCCCGGAGGCCGAATCGGGCTCCAAGAAGTCTTCCAGGAGAGCCGCCGTTACAGATCCGCCTGCCGAGTCGGTTGCGAATGTGTTCCACGGGTGCACACTATTAAGTTACAGTGGTGGGCTCAGCGCGTGCGACAAGGGCGACCAGTGGCAGCGGGCTTTGGCGCTGATCAGGGAGATGCGGGAAGCGAACTTGGAGCCCAACGTCATCTATCCTACAATTCCGGGAGGGTGTGCGCCGCAATACTTTCCAAAATGCTCCCAGAGCACTCCAAGAGTACGCCCAGCAGGGCCTTATGGTGCAAACATGTGTTTTCTGTAAGGTTTTCTAACATTTCAAGCAGACCCGACGTTGTGGCCCTTGCAGCATCCACGACGACCCACAAGCTCCCAGGATCGCCCCAGGCCCGGTCAAGAGGCCTCCGAAGAGAATCCCAGTGCGGCCCCAGAAAGCCCTTAGACTCTAGGCCTCCTAGATGGGGTCGGAGTAGATGTGGTCAGAGGATCGCACCCGCACCGCCGAAACATCGCCGATGCGGCTCGATGTGGAGCCGTCCGATATGCTTCACGTCGACGTCGCCGATGCATCGCCGATGTCGACTACGCATCGCCAGTGCATCACCGATGCATCGCCGATGCGTCGCCGATGTGTCGGCGGTGCGGCGCGATCATCTGACCCCATTTGCTGGGACCCCAGCCAGGAGGCCTTTATGTAACTTTACAGCCGGCCCGAGCTGGCCCCAGAGAGCCCCAAGACGGCCCCAGTCCGGGCCAGCGCCCAGGTATCCTCCGCCCCCATGCGCTGGGACCCCAGCTATTAGGAGGCCTCCACAGACGGCCCGGGCCGGCCCCAGGGAGCCCCAAAGACGACCCCAGTCCGGGCCGGGAGGCCTCCCGGGAGCCACTCTTTGTGGAGGCGGCTCCGCGTGCGTCCTCCTTAAGGGCGGCCTGGGGCCCTCCCGGGCCTGCGCCCAGATGCATCGAGGATGCGGGAGCCCCTAACCCTGATAGCACGATGCAGACGTGGCCTTACCGAGCCGCCGTTCTGCATTGGGGGTCATAAGTCTGGGCGGTTGGGCCTGCTACCTCCGCGGAAGAGGCCCCCTGGCCCTCCTAACTTAGGACCCCTCCCAAAGGGTTGGGGGTCCTCTTTTGGTGGATCATGGAAGCGGGAACCATGTGAGGAAATGCGGCCCTGCTTCGGTCCCCGCATTCCTTCGCCGAGGGCACATGCGGAGTTGCTCCACGGGTGCACGCTAGGAAGTTCCAGCGCTGGGATCAGTGCGTGCAAGAAGGGCGAGCAGTAGCAAAGCAGCATACAGCAAGCAAGCAAGCGAGCAAGCAACAAGCAAGCAGGGCACAACAGGCAGCATACAGGCAAGCAAGGACTCAAGCAAGACAGCAACAGGCCAATGCAAGACGCCAGATTGTTTGCACGCAGCGCAAGCAGCAAGCAGCGCAATTCCACAACAGCAACGAACACACGCAGGACACGCTGGTTGACGCGGACGGAGCCCACGGATCAGCCGTATAAACTACAACTTCGCGACCAACGCGTGCGAGAAAGCAATGCAATGGCAATGGGCGTTGGCGTTGGTCAGGGATATGTGACCGTGCGTGCCCAGTGCGTGCGACAACCCGAGTACATTTTCCCTGGCCGTTGGGCAGCCTCACCTTGAGAATTATGATCAGACCAGTCCGCTGGCTGTGGACGTAGTCCACAGATTAGCCCCAGTCAGTTACAGCGCGGGGATCAGTGCGTGCAAGGAGGGCGAGCAGTGGCAGCGGGCGTTGACACTGCTCAGCGAGATGCGGGAGGTGAAGCTGGAGCCCCACGACATCATACCTGCATTGCCGAGCGTCGCGCGTGTCAGAACGGCTCTTCTACATCGCAGTGCACCGTGCGTTGGAACAGACAGATTATGCGGATGAATTGCCTTTCCAAGCCCCCTGGAGGTCCCAGAGGCCCCTGGTGATCCCCATGAATTCCTGGAGGGCGCCAAGACATTACCAATACGGCCCAAGATCGTCTTCGTGAGGGCCCGAGGTTGCCAACGTTACCGCCAAGTGCGGTCCGAGATGGCCCCCAAAAGGCTCCAAAAGGCACCCGAGAGCACCACGGAGGCTCCAGGAGGCCTCCCAGGTTCCGTCCAGCACGCTTACTGGCACGCTGACCCGTCCAACACCCGAGGGGGTCCATGTTTCGGCGCCTCAGGGTCCTGGGCTTCGGATCTTTCTGGGCCATCCTAGTGTCCTCTTCGGGCCAGTGGGGCTCGTGGACCTCGGGGGCCTCGTGGAGCCATCTTGGGCCCAGAGGACCCGCCCAAGGCCGCCCCATGCTTGCCCCAGGACATCCCAGGACGGCCCCGAGCCCCCTCCCCACCCCCCCGAGTTGGCCCCAGACCCTGAAGGGAGGAGCCCCAGAGGCCCCAGGGGAGCCCAACTCGGCCCCGAGAAGGGCCAAAAGAGGGCCCCCCCCGAGAGCCCAAGCTTGCTCTGGGATGCAGTGGAGGCCCATGCCAAGAAACACCCTGCTTGCCTCCAGAGTGCCCTCGGTTTCTTGAGTTTCGCTGGTTTCGCGATGGAGAGCTTGACGTTCCCACACCAGAAGTTCATGGACATCCTGGGGTCACAGGGTTGAGTTTCTTGTAGGAGGTTTCTTGTGAACTGACCTCCACTGCATCCCCAAGAAGGGCCCGAGGGAGCATCAAGAATGGACGAGCGAGGGGTAGCAACAGTCCCAGTGTTTAGTGTTCCGCTCCTCTCTTGTCGCTCCGTGTTCCTTGCCTACTGCTCTGCGTTCCTCGCCCCTCGGCCCTTCCTCCGCGCTTCTCACTCCTCCTTTCTCCATCCTCTGTGGCTACTCGCACTACTCATCCTCGGCTTTCTCTCCCTCCTCAACCCTCTCGCCTCCCCTAACCTTCTCGCTCCTTAGTGATTGTCCATCGTTTCCCGATCCTCCCTCGTCGATCCTGCTCTCCTCAGTCTTGTTACGAGCAGCAGGTTGCCTCCGTAAGCAGAAGTAGCGAGAAGCAGCACCCTGCTGCATCAAGCAGTAAGAGCGATCAGCAGCAGCACCCAGCACGGCAGTGGATCGGTAGCGGCAGCATACAACAGCATGCCGCAGCATGCAGCAGGCAGCAGGCAGCAGCACCTGCAGCTGCACGCGGCAAACATAAGTGGCAATCAGCAGAACTTTGAGCAGCGGCGTGCATAACCTATAACACGCAACAGCGGCAACAAGCAGTATCATGAATGTAGCAGGCACGCAGCAGCAGCCAGCACCAAGCAGCAGCAGCCAGTAGCGACGAGGACGAGCAACGTGTATGTTCATACGAAATGTGGCATCCAGCAGCACCGGGCATCAGCACGCGGCAGGAAGCGGCAGCGAGCGGACGGGCAAATGACATATCTAGAGAAAGCACAGGATCCAACCAGGCTGACAAATTGCGCACGCAGGACAGCAGGCGAATAGACAGGTATTTGGGCAAGCGATACGATGAGGCTCTCATGTGCAGTAGTCGACCGGTCAGCCCTCGTCTCTTTTCACAACGCAGGAGCCCGCGCGTCCAAGAAGGGTACATGTCCCGATTTTTTTCTTGCCCCATGCGTGGGCCGCCCTCTGAGCTCGAAAGACGTTCCCAGTGCGTCCTGGGACAGTGCTGCGGGCCCCGGACGGCTCTGGAGAGCCCCGAAGACGTGCGCCCACGGCCCGGTGAGCTCCCAGAGGGTGTGTTCTTAGAGGGCCCAGGTGGCCCCACCGAGCCCCCAAGACACCCCGATAACGACGCCGAAGTGGCCCCGACACGCTCTGCGATGGCTCAGCGAAGAGAATCATTTCCGAACTGTTCCTGCGTGTGTGTGCCACTCTCCACTTTTCGGCCCCAGATCGCTTCGCAAAGGGCCGGGGGCGCCTCCAAGCAGTCCCCCGAGTCCGACAGTAGCTCCCAGGAGTAGGGCGATGGGATCGGTACACGTCCACTGCCAAGGCTAGACCCATCCTGGGCGTAGGAGCGGTGTATACAGTCAACCCGCATAGTAAGGATGGGCAACCTTCCCAAGGGTACCCTTACATCCTTGCCTCCTCGGTTCATCCTTTGCCACTTTCGTTGGCCATGCCTCGCTCGAAAAGCTGCGAAATGGGCGTCCGAAGCCGTTGCATCCTCATCGGGCATCCTTCCTGTACGGGTAGACTGCACGCCCTGCCGCCTTGGCCAGGGATCCGTTCCTGGGCCCAGCATGCCAGGCCTCGGGCAGTGCACATGTACGGCAGGTTCGCGTCGTGTCGACCGGCGGCGACCTTGGTCGATGTTGAACGATCTGACGTTTTGGGAACGGCCGATTGTTCAAGGTTGCACGATTCCCTCGAAGTGAGGAACCAACGCCCGGGTCGACTCGGCACGAACTTGCAGAATACGCGTTCACTGTACGCCCTCCCAGCTTGGCCGCGGATGCTTCTATACCGTTCTTGGGCCCAGCATGGGCCAGGCCTCGGGCAGTGGACAAGTACAGTGGAAACCATCAGAAACACCCTGCTTGCCACCAGGGGGCCCTGGCTTCCTTCGGTTTCGATGGTTTTGCTACGGAAAGCGTGGCGTTCCATCACCACGCAATCGATGGACGCCCTGGGGTCTCAGGGCTGGGCTTCTTGTGGAAGCTTTCTCGTGGTCGAGCTCCTGCTGCATAGATCTCGCCGCCCGCAGGGGGGGCCCAAGACGCTCCTAGGGTGGCCCAAGAGGAGCCCGGCCGCCCTCCGAGGTGGCCCCAAGACCGCCTCAGGGTGGCCCCAGGGCACCATGTTCGGCCTTCCCCCCCCCCCTCCTCCTCGGCCTCCCCTCCTCCTCCTCCTCCTCCTCCTCCTCTTCCTCCTCCTCCTCCTCCTCCTCCTCCTCCTCCTCCTCCTCCTCCTCCTCCTCCTCCCTCTCTTCCTCCTCCTCCTCCTCCATTCCTTCTTCCTCATGAGTAACTCCTCCCTGTCGCACCCCGAGGCCAGCTTTTAGGGCGGGACGGGCGTTTCGCCTAAGACTTTCTCACCATTTATGACCCTGAAGCTTAAACATTGGCAACAGCTTCACAGATGGAGGGCGGGTGGTTTTCAAAATGTGGCTCTGGCTTTAGCGCGGCGCACATTCGTTTTCAAAATGTGTAAGAGTTTCACGAATTGAGGGCGGCCCGTCTTCAAATTGTGGTTTTCGCATTAGTGCCGCGCACATTCGTTTCAAACAGTTGCAAGAGTTTCACATATTGATGGCGGTTCTTTTTCACAATGTGGCTGTCGCCTTAGCGCCGCGCACATACATGTTCTTCTCTAGCCAAAAAAGAGGGGGTGGGGGGACTACCTTCACGGAGCCCCATGATCAGCGTACCAGAAATGATGTTTTGGAAGGAATCAGGATTATGACATGTGCCACAGTTGCGTTGATTCGCAGTGTTGAAGTCCCAGGAATGGCGTTCTGGCACGATTCAGGATCGTCAACACGCAACAGTCAAGTTCATCCGTGGCGTTGGAATCCCGAGAACAATGTTTTGGCATGCTTCAGGGTCTTTAAAATATTGTCTTCCGACGAGGCAGTTCCCCCAGCGGACATGAACCGTTGCAGGGGCATGTGAAGAGGGAGTTTGAAGAGAGGGTTTACTCCAACATCGTTGATGCCTCTTGGGTTTACACTGGTCCTCCTCCTCCTCCTCCTATACCGCTCCTGGTACCCCCCCCCACACACAGATCCCAGAAGCACCGGGGGAGACAAGGACGCCCCAAAGCAGGCCCCAAGAAGACGTCAGAAAGGCACCCAATTTGGCCCAGAGAGGGCCCCATGAGCGAACCCAATAGAAGAACCGGCGTTCATCAAGACGCGCGTCGAGGCCTCCTGGAGATTCGCGTGCTGGCCGTTTCTCGAGCCTCCCCGCTTGCTCTTAGTTGTTGAGCCCATTCTTCCATTGTTCATCAATCGTGGCGCTTGACTCGTTGCTCCCCTCTTCTCACTCCTTCTCGCTTCTCTCTCCTGGCCCTCCCTCCTCACTCCTGACCGCTCGCATCTCCATCTCCCCTCCTCCCCTTGTCTCTCGTCGGCTCTCCGTCCTCCGCCTTTGCCCCTCTCTGCTTTGCCGTCGCGTCTCCCTTCTCGCGTCTGGCTCCTCGTTGATCGCCCCCGGCTGCTCCGTCCTCGATCCCGCCACGAGCAACAGGTTGCCTCGGCAAGCCGACGTGGCGGCAAGCAGCACCCTGCAGCATCAAGCATCCACATCGTACAGCAGCAGCACGCAGCAGAAGGCCAGCGTCAGCGGCAGCACACAGCAACGACAAGCAGTAGCAGTGCGTAGCAGGCAGCAGCCCCATACCCAACAGCAGCAAGTTGCATGCAGAACTGGCAATCAACAGCATGCGGCCACGAACAGCAACAGCAAGCAACAGCGGCAGTACGCAGCACGCAGTGGAAGGCATGCAGCAACAACCAGTTTCGAGCAGAATCACAACGCCACGCCACCAAACTGCGCCAAACAGCAACACTCAACGGCCAACGTCAGCCCACAGCGGCAAGGCATAGTCACATTTAGATGTATACTGTTGCAGCGAACCGCAGAAATTTCCAGCACGTGGTAGGAAGCGGCAGCGAGTGGACTGTCAAACCAGGAAGCAAGCACATTCCCAAGCAGGCTATTCAGCCAACAGCGACCAGGCCACTAGAATAGCAATCCGCATAAACATGATAGCAAGCGAGCAGACAAGCATGCTAGCTATGTTGTTCTGGGCATGCGATTCCAATTTCGTGGACGGTAGTGCATGGGTTAGCCCTTGTCAGTTACAGCGCTGGGATCAGCGCGTGCGAGAAGGGGAAGCAGTGGGCTTGGGCTTTGGCGCTGCTCAACGCAATGCGGGATACAAAAATGAAGCTTAACACGCCGTGCTACAACGCTGGGATCAGCGCCTGCGAGAAGGGCAAGCAGTGGCAGCGGGCGATGGTGCTACTCAGCGATATGTGGCAGGCGAAGCTGGAGACCGACGTCATCATATCTACAGTGCCGGGTGTCGCGCGCGCCAGAACGGCAACATTTGTTGATGCGCCCGTCTTGGGCGCCACCGTCTGGTCGGTTGCCCTTGGGGTAGCCTCGACTCCACCACGAGAGGCATTCCAGGTGCTGGGGCTGCACCCCATAGAGTCCTCAAGATGCCCCAGGAGGTGTGTCGGACTCCAATCGGCGTCCAAACCATTGCCTCCATGCTTGTTCCTCCTTCGGTCTGTTTGGCACCGAGCCTTCTTGCGTAGTTTCATACACGGCCTCCGAGCGGTCCGACTCGCTTGCAAGACGAAGCCCAGGCGGCCTTCAGAGGGCCCCCTGGAGGTCCCACGACGCCCCCAAGACGGGCCCCGGAGAGCTCCAGGACCGCAGGGCCCGAGGCAGCCCAGGGCCCCCCCCCCCTTGCAGCACCAGAGCGGCCCGAGAGGTCAGCGGAGAGCCCCGGGAGGGCCCCGAGGTACGCCCGGTGCACCCCGGGAGAGCCTGCAGCAGGGCACGCATTCTGTCCAGCAGCGGGCGTGCAGGCGAGAACGACAGCAGGCAGGTATGCAGAAGTCTGAGATCGATGCGCCAGCCTGCACGTACTCCAGGTTTCGTAGTAACAGGGAGGGGGTCTGGACCCTCCAAGACTGGCCATTTCAGACCTCCCCCGTGGGAGAACCCTCCGAAACATCGTCCCCAGACCCCCCAGGCCCTCCAAGATAGCCTGGAAGAGACCCCCCCCGAAATGAGACCCCCCTCCCTTTATTACGAAGTCTGGAGTAGATAGGGCCGTCGGGGAGAAAGCTGTCAGGCCAGAAGGCTAGCAGCCACGAGCGGGCCATTCCTAGTCAGTTACAGCGCTGCGATCAGCGCGTGCGGGCAGGGCGAACAGTGGCAGCGGGCTGTGGCGCTGCTCAGCGAGATGCAGGAGGCGAAGCTGGAGCCCAACGTCATCGGTCACAATGCCGTGATCAGCGCCTGCAAGAACGGCGGGCAGTGGCAGCGGGCTGTCGCGCTGCTTAGCAAGACCAGGGAGGTGACGGCATGGCAGGCCGACGTGACCAGTTACGCTGCTGGGATCAGCGCATGCGGGAACGGAGAGCAGTGGCAGAGGGCTTTGGAGCTGCTCAGCGGAATGCGGGGTGCGAAGCTGGAGCCGACAGTCATCTGACCTCCGTTGCAGACATACGTGCGCGCGAGAAGGGCCTGCGCAGAGAAAGTTTGGGAGAAGCTCCCCCACGAAGCGGCCAGAGAGCCCGCGGGGTGCTCCAACGACGGCTCCAGAGAGCTCCAAGAAGGCCCTCGTACGCCCCCAAGGCGTCTCCCGACAGTCCAAGGGGTCTTACGCGTGCACCAACACGGCTCACAGGGGGACCCCTGAGAGGGCTTCCAGGAGCAAAACCATTACAGTCAACCCACACAGTAAGGATGCTCAGCCTTCCCAAGGGTATCATTGCATCTTTGCCCCCGTCGGTCCATCCTCATCCTCTCTCGTTGGCCGCGCCCCGCTCGAGGAGCTTCGATCGGGGCGTCCAAGGCCCCTTGCATCCGTAGCACGCGTCCTTTTGATAGGGACCGACATGTACAGAATTTCCCCAGGTGTTCGAAGGCTCTCCGCATGCTCGATGTGGCAACCCCCTCGGGACGCCCAGAGCGGCCCCAGGAGGCGCCCCCGAGGATCGACCCAGGACGGTCCCGAGGTGGCCCCCCAAAAGGCGGCCCCGCAAGACTCCAAGGCGATCGCCCCAGAGACGGCCCCAAAAAGGGGCCCCCGAAGACGGCCCACGAGGGCCCCAAGACGGCCCCCAAGGCGGCCCAAAAGGGGCCCCGAAGACGGCCCAATTCGAACTGACAGTTCCCGCCCTCCGCCCCGAGATCACCCCCGAGATCGCCAGCAGGCCCCCTGGAGACCTCAGGGTGCCCCAGAGAGGCCCAAGTTGGGCCCCCAGGAGGGCCCAGAGCAGCCCCACGACACGACCAAAATCGTCTTTGGGCGGCTTCCGGGGGAACTTCCCACAGAGAACTCTGGGACGCGCTTGTCGTTTTCCTCCCTTCAGCGGAGCGGCTCCGGTCTGAATTGGCAACTCGTCCAGGAGTTCTCCTTGAGAGAGCTCTGAACCCGCAGGCCACGGAGGGGCATGCTCCGCAGTTAGTCTGTCCTCTTCCGAGCCTCCGCAGCCCGCGCGCCTCCCCGGGCTGCCATAGCCACGACGGAGCATCGGTGGAAGATAATGGCCACGTGCTTTTCTTAATTTCGGGCCTTTGCTTTGATACGAGGCCATGGCGCCTCAAGATCGTCGCAGGGCGGCCCAAGACGTCCCCTCCTGCAGCCTCCCGACCCCCCGGAGGCCCAGCCAGGCTCCAAGGTAGACTAAGAAGCCCCAAAGAAGGTACGAGGGGGTCCAGATTCAGCCAAGGAGAGCACCATGACAGTTCCGGCAGCGAGCAGCAGCAGCCGCAAGCAGCAAACCAGCCAGCAAGCAAGCAGCATCAAGCAAGCAAGCAAGTAAGCAAGCAACAAGCCAATTCAAGAAGCTAAATTGTTCGCACGCAGCGCGAGCAGCAAGCAGTGCAATTACACAATAGCAACAAACACACGCTGGACATGCTGGATGACGCGGACGGAGCCCACGGACCAGTCGTATCATCTACAGCTTCGGGACCAACGCGTGCGAGAAAGCAATGCAATGGCACTGGGCGTTGGCGCTGGTCAGGGAGATGTGATCATGCGTGCCCAGCGTGTGCACAAACTTGGGTACCTTTCACTGGCCGCTGGGCAGCCTCGCCTTGAGAATTATGACCAAACCAGTCCGCTGGTGTTGGACGTAGTCCACGGGTGAGCCCTAGTCATTTACAGCGCTGGTATCAGTGCGTGCGAGAAAGGCAGGCAGTGGCAGTTGGCTTTGGTGCTGCTCGGCGAGATGCGGGAGGTGAAGCTTGAGTCCGACGGTGTGTCTTGCGGCGCTGGGATTAGCGCGTGCGAGAAGTGCGGGCAGTGGCAGCGGGCGCTGGCGTTGCTCAGAGAGATATGTGATGCGAATGGCGCCAGCGCAATTTGCTACAACGCTGGGATAATCGCCTGCGAGAAGGGCAGGCAGTGGCAGCGAGCGTTGGCGCTGCTCAGAGCAATGTGTGATGCGAAGCTGGAGGCCGAAGTCATCAGTTACAGCGCTGGGGTGAGCGCGTGCGAGAAGTGCGGGCAGTGGGAGCGGGCTCTGGCGCTGCTCACTGCACTATGTGCTTCGAAGGTGAAACCTGACGCACTGTGCCTCAACGCTGGCATCAGCGCCTGCGAGAAGTGCGGGCAGTGGCAGCAGGCTCTGATGCTGCTCAGCGAGATGTGGGCGGCGAGGCTGGAGCCCGGAGTCGTCGATGCGACAGTGCGGGCGCCACCGCGTGCCAGAGGGGCGCTCGAGCAAGGAGCTTAGCATCGGCCCGCAGGCCCAGACGCGCCCCTGGGACGGACCAAGGCCGCCCAGTGGACCCCTCCTCATCCTCCGTCTCCTCCTCGTCCTCTTCCTCCTGCTCCCCACGACCGCCAAACAGGGCCCCGATACGCCCCCAGACGCCCCAAGATGGCGCCAACAGAGGGACCCCCAGACGCCCTTCGATGGCGCCCAGGATCACCTAGCGCGTCCCACTACTCGCAAAGTGCCTCCTCGCAAACGTCCGCATAAAATCACGTGCTTGCCTCGATGTAGTGGATCGTAAATTGCCCGCTGCAGATCCAGGCCAGTTGCGAGTAGTTCCTTTGCGAGTAGTGGAACGCGTTGTCTACAAGAGACAATTGGCCAGATGGCCCAAGCCAAGCGTGGCCCCGACGGCCTCCAAGAGGACCCCATGGCCGCGCAGAGATGGCCCGAGGCACCTCCCGACCGTACCAGGTGACACCCCCCAAAATGGCACTCAGAGGCCCCGAGGGACGCCCGGATGACTCCTCCTCCTCCTCCTCCTCCTCCTCCTCCTCCTCCTCCTCCTCTTCTTCGTCCTCATCATCATCCTCCTCCTCCTCGTCCTCCTCCTCCTCTTCCTCCTCCTCCTCCTCCCCATACCTCCTCCTCCGCACACTTCCTCCTCCTCCTCCAGATCGAAGTCTGCTCGATCGGTCTCGGAAGGCCGGGAGGGGCAGCGCCTCCGCCCGATTGTGCTTGCCTGCAGAGGTGTTCCTCGCCTCGCTCATCTGCCTGACATAGTCCGTTCGGATTTTCAGATGTTGAAGCGAATAACAACCCTCCTCCTCCTCCTCCTCCTCCTCCTCCTCCTCCTCCACAGACCTCTTCCTCCCCATACATCCTCCTCCCCATACTCCTCTCCCCATACCTCCTCCTCCCCGTACCTCCTCCTCCTCCCTCCTCCTCCTCCGCCTCCTCCTCCTCCTCCTCCCCCTCTCCTCCTCCCCCTCCCTCCTCCCTCCTCCTCCTCCTCCTCCTCCTCCTCCTCCTCCTCCTCCCTCCTCCTCCCAGTACCTCCTCCTCCTCCTCCTCCTCCTCCCCATACCTCCTCCTCCGCCTCCTCCTCAGGAGGCCAGGATCCGGAGCCCCCAAAGAGGACCCCAACATCTGTCCCCAAGCGAGCCCGTGTACGAGCGACCCGAGCTGGTGACCGAACAGGTGCTCGGCCAGACGCGCGTCGAGGCCGACTGGGAGATGCGCCGCGGCCGCTCCTCGGCACCTCGCTCCTGGCGTGTCAGTTCTGGCTCCTCGCTCCCGGGGGCCAGAGAGCGGTGCCCTGCAGCATCGCGCAGCACCGCGGCAGCAGCAGGGGCGCACAGCACGAGGCAGGCAGCTGCAGCGGCGGCAAGAGCAAGCAGCACGCAGCAGCGCAGCACGCAGCAGCGCAGCAGCGCCTCAAGCAGCAGCACGCCACTGCCCACACCAGATCGCGCAGTGGCGTAGGAAGAGCAGCACGAGCAATAACATGATGCTCGGTAGCAGGCCATGGGAGCCCGGTATGCCCTCGCAATTCCGTCTTTACCTTCGATTGGCGCCGATTAGTGTTTGGGAGTCGATGAGACAGCGCCGATGTAGCGTCGACTTAGCGTCGGTTACCGTCGATTCGCAAGAGCCGACAACATGGTATGGGAGGTTCCCATGAGTTGACACCGAAATGCACAGTTCCAGCCAAGATCAAACAAAAGCAAGTTGCGGTGAGCGGACAGGCACACGATCTGGCCAAAAGGAGTCAGGCCACCTGGCTAGCAACCACGCAAGCGGGACAGCAGAGGAGCAGGCAAGCGACCCTGACCCTCGTATGGGATTAAGTGTTCGTGGAAGGTAGTCTACGGGTCAGCCCCAGTCAGTTACAGCGCCGGGATCAGCGCCTGCGAGAAGGGCAGTCAGTGGCAGTGGGCGTTGGCGCTGCTCGGCGAGATGCGGGAAGCGAAGCTGGAGCCCAACATCATTTGTACTACAAATTCTGGGCGATGCGCGTGAGAGATGCCTCCGCAGTGCGCCAGCTGCCAGGAGCGCCCCGCCGTTCTCCGACGGCTTCCGAGAACCCCCGGGCGGCTCCAAGACGCCTCAGGCAGCCCGAACATCGCTCCGAGACGCCCCGAAGGGCACGAGGACGTTCCAAGAGAGCCCGACAGGAGATCCATGACAGCCCAAGGGAGGAGGGAGGAGGGAGGAGGGAGGGAGGGAGGACGGCCCGGCGACGGGTCGGGTGCCTCCGAGACGGCTTAGCCCGACCCCGACGGCCGTTCCCCGAAGCCAAAATCATGGATTTTCCGACGGGTGTTCGAAGGATTTCCGTGTTCTCGCCATTGTTGGCCATGAACAGCCCCAGACGGTTGCAGGGCCACCTCAGATCGCCCCAAGACAGTCCAGAAGGCCCCGCCAAGTGCCCCAAGACGGCCCCGAAGGGCCCGGAGTTTGCCCAAGGGAAGTCAAAGACGAACTCATACAACTCCCGTGGGCCTCCGAGATGGCCCCAAGAGGGCCCCAGGAGCTGCCCAACAGACACCAAAGCGAGCTCCAAGACGGCCCAAGACCCCAACATGGCCCCAGGACAGCCCCAGAGGCCCACGGGGCGGCCTAAGAGGGCCCAGGAGTACCCCGACGACGGCGCTACGAGGCGATTAAACAAGCCAAAATCCTGCATGTTCCGAGGTTCTCCACGCTCTCCCCAGGACGGGCCCAGAATGGCCGCGCGCGTCTCCAGGTCCTAATATCGCACCGAGAGGGCCCAAGAGGCCCTCACGAGCCAGCGAAGACGGCCAACGGGGGCCCCAAGACTGTCCAGAACAGGCCCCAGAGAGCCTAACAGAGCTTCCGGCTGCCCCCCCCGAGACGCCCCAGGAGCTGCCCAGGAGGGCCCAAGCAAGATCCCCAGACGGCCCCAGACCCCCACCAAGGCCCGAAGATGGCCCAGGGGGCCCCGGTACGGCCCAAGAGGGCCCACAGAGCTTCCGCAGACGGACCCAGGAGACCAGAAATCAAGCAAACAGTTTGCGGTTTTCAGTGTCTCCCACGCTCTCGCTCTTACGGGGCCCCATGCAGTTTCAGGCATTTCCGCGATCGCCGCACGATGGAGGCCCCGACGAACGCAACAAGACGGCCCCAGAGGGCCCCAAGACGGCCCAAGACAGGCCCCCGACGGCCTACTGGAGCTTCAGGTGGCAGCCCAAGACGCACCAGGAGCTGCCCAAGAGGTCCCACGCTGGACTCGCAGACGGCCCCAGACCCCCATTCTAGCCCAAAGATTGCCCAAGAGGCCCCCGGGACGGCCTCAGGGGACCCACGAGGACCCCGATGACGGTCCCACGAGACCAAAAACCAAACAACAATCACGAATTCCCCCGTGTTTTCGCACACTCTCCAAACGCAGGCCCAGAACGGCCCCAACAGGCTTCAGGCCCGTCTAAGATCGCCCCAAATTGGCCCAAGAGGCCCTGACGGGCGCACCAAGACGGCCCAAAGGGCCCCTCCCCGCAATACCGGCCCCAGACGGCTTGATAGAGCTTCAGGTTGCCCCCCCGAGACGCCCCAGGAGTTGCCCGAGAGGGCCCCGGCTGAGCTCCAGCATGGCCTTTCGCCCCCACCCAGGGCCCAACACGGCCGCGGAGGCCCTCGGGACTCCGCGGGCTGTTGCAGACGAGGGGTGGCCCACGAGGGCACCCCAGCACGCCTCGAGCCCCCTCCCGCCGATCATCCAGGCCTCCCGGATGGCGTCGGAGCACTTTGGGCCGGTGGATCGCGCCGCATCGCCGTGCATCGGCCATGCGGCTCGATGCAGAGCCCGACTGTCTCCACGCTGGTGTCGCCGATGCAACGCCGTCGTCGTCAATGCATCGTCGATGCACAGGCGATTTTTCGGCGATCTTTCGGCGATGCGGCGCGATCTTCCGACCCCATCTACAGTGGGGCAGTCCACAAGAAGCCTTCCACAAGAAACCCAACCCTGAGACCCCAGGACGTCCGTTCATTTCTGGTGTGGGGACGCCACGCGTTCCATCGCAAGACCATCGAAACCTAAGAAACCCAGGGCACCCACTGGAGGCGAGCAGGGTGTTTCTTGCCATGGGCCTCCACTGTAGGGGTGACTCGACGAGGGTCCTTCTCCTATCCTCTCTGCCACGGCCTCCGTTTGGATCCCGCGCCCCCCCCCCCCTCTCGGGTACCGCTCTCCTCCTCCTCCTCCTCCTCCTCCTCCTCCTCCTCCTCCGAGAGTATGCAGCGAGGTGCCGTCGTCGATGCTACGAGGCCACGAGGCCGAGATGCCCCAGACCCTCCCAAGGCACTCGCAGGCAGCCTCCAGCCCCAGAGCCCAGAGCTTGCAGCAGTCCCGAGGGCTTGTCGGTCCCGAACGCGCCCGTGCCGCCTGCGATCGCCGACGCATGCGCGTTCGGTACCGACACCTTGAGATGCCAGCTGTGCATTTCCACAGGGCTCACACCAGTCAGCTGCAATGCTGGGACCAGCGCGTGCGAGAAGGGCGGGCAGTGGCAGCGAGCCCTGGCGCTGCTGAGCGAGATGCGGGAGGCGAGGCTGGAGCCCAATGCCATCATCTCTAGGCGGTTGCCTCCGAGTGGCAAGGCCAGCTCGGCCGTCAGCGGGGAAGGTGTCGGCCCCAGGCGGCCCTGGAGGGCCCTGCAGGGCAGCAGGTTTGCCGAGACAGACTCCAGGGACGAGCTGGCGACTGGCCAATGCATTCCAGGACGGCCCAAGGTTTCGACGAGCTGAGCCAACCGGGGGCTGAGATAACTGAGGCGGCAGGGCCCCCGAGCGGCGACCGTCGTCGAAGTTGCCAAGGTTTCCGCAGATGTGTCGCAATCTCCACTACTCAGTTCAAGATGGTTTCAGAATGGCCCCAGTCGCTTCCAAGAAGGCCCGACAATCCCACAAGAGCTCCCAGGAGGACTACGATAGCCCACAGAGGGCCTGCGCCGAAAGCCCCCAAAGATAGACACACAGAGACGACGCCAAGGTGGCCCCCAGCGGCTGTGCGATGTCTACGCTGTGGGCCCCCGGCATGCGGAGTCCGTGAAGTTCCGTGTGGTTCCTCGTGCACATTCGCGGTGCTTCGGCTCCAGATTTAGGTCGGACGCGTCCCTCCTACAGGAGGACGATTTCAGAAATAGTTAAAAAAGTGTAGGCAGTGAGCGACGCGTTGATTGTACCACCCCAACCCAACCCGAAGGCCCAGATTTGCCCTCCATTTCCAGTGTGGGGGGGGGGTCGCGGAACATCGGAACAAAAACACGAATGGAACCTTCACCCCCCCCCAACTCGAAATTCGGGCCCTCGGGTTAGGTTGGGGTGGTTTGGCAGGTAGTCAAAAGTCCGCCTGTAGGGGGACACGCCCGACCTGACTCCAGATCTCTCCCCGGGGGGCCCGGGACGACCGGCTCCGAGCGGGCCGCCTCGGAGGCTCGCGCGGAGACCCCAGGCCGACCGCGCCCCCGAGAGCCCCGGCCGGCCCCGGGGGGTCCCCAGGGACGGCCCCAAGGCCGCTCCAAGATGGCCCCAGGGCCCCCGCCTCCTCCTCCCCCTCCTCCTCCTCCTCCTCCTCCTCCTCCTCCTCCCCCTCCTCCTCCTCCCCTCCTCCCCCCTCCCTCCTCCTCCTCCGCCTCCTCCCCCTCCTCCTCCTCCTCCTCCTCCTCCTCCTCCTCCTCCTCCTCCTCCTCCTCCTCCTCCTCCTCCTCCTCCTCCTCCTCCTCCTCCTCCTCCCATCCCAGAGCGCTCCTGGGGCCTCCCAGACGCTCCTGGGGCCTCCCAACCGGAGGCCCCAGGAGGCCCCCCAAATGGGGCCCCACGAGCCACTGGGAGAGTCGTGTGCCGGCTGCTGCCCAGCCCTCCTCGCTCATCGCGCTTCGCGCCTCGCCCCCCCCTCTCTCTCCTCGCCCCTCGCCCGTGAATCCTCGCTCACTGCTCCTGTTTCCTCACTCCTCGCTCCTCGCTCCTGGCTGCTCGCACCTCGCCTCCCCTCGCTCCCTCCTCGGCTCTCCTGCATCCCTCCTCCCTCGACTCTTGGGTCTCAGCAGGAGGTGGTGGGGTACATGTTGTTCGAGCACACGGCCGAGCACGTGTAAAAGGAAGGCCGCCAAATGTCAAAAGAAGGCTGCCAAATTGACCTGCTCATGAATGAGAATTGTTCGGAAACGTTTCAGCAGGCAAGTACGCCCCCCGAGCGTACTCTTGTATTGGGGAACTGTTCGGGCAGTGGGCCCGGTAGCCCTCCCAGAGCCTTTCCCAGTTCCGAACAGATGTGAAGAACTGTAAGGCCTGATGTGTTCGGCGGGGGGCTCAGTTCTTCGCTGATGCAGACCCACCACCACGCTCCTCCCGCCTCTCCTCGGCCGTCACTCCTCCATTCTCGCTCCGTGCTCATCGTCGATCATGTTTTGCTTCTCCCACCTTCCTCGACCATGCTTGCTCGCTTCTCCTCTCCTCGCTCCTCCCTCGATCCACTCGCGAGCAGCAGTGTGCGTCAGCCAGCGGGAGCATCGAGAAGCGGCACCCCGCAGCCGCGAAAGCAAGCAGCGGCCACGAGTCGGCACCACGCGGTCAGGAGCAGGCAGCACGCGCGGCGGCACCCGGCAGCAGCAAGCAGGCAGCAGGCAGCAGGCAACGGCACCTTGCAGCCGCAGGCCAGCAACAGCAGATGCTGCGCCCGGGCCAGCGTCGGCATGGAAGGCTTCGGGGCGGCATCTCGGTCCGAATCCAAAACATGCTATCTCGGACAGACTGCGCGGCCAGTAGGACACGTGTCAGCCTTAGGAAGCCACAACGCTGGGATCAGCGCCTGCGAGAGGGGAACACAGGGTGCTTCAGGGGCATGGTTTCGTGTCCAGCATGCGATGCGTTCTACCCCGCCTCAGAGCAGTCTCGACCGGGACTCTCGAGTTGCCTCGCCTTCACCCAGCGCTTCGAGACGCTCGCTGCCTTTCCGTGCGCCGTATTCAGGAACCCTCAGGACGGGTCTCCAACACCGTTGTAGACACCGAAAGTATTGAAACTCATCGAGTTGGAATGTCATGGTTAGCATTCTGCCGCACAGGCGCCCCATGCCAGCCGGCTCGGTGCCCGCGTGGGTCCCTCCGTAAGGACACCAGAGTTCATTACTTGGAGGATCCAAGCATGGCTACAAGGGGCCCTCGAGAATCGTCGCACTGCCACGCTCCTGCGGCGGTGCCATGCGCATGTGTTGAGCTCGTTACACACAGGCTGGACATGCTCCCGAGCACCGCCCTTGAGAGTGCGAAGGCCGGCAGGGCGATGCTCCTACATACATACATTGTGCCCGTGTAGGCTTCTGGACCTCTCGAGCGCCCCTTGGTTACGAGTGACACACAGGCTGGACACGCTGATAGACGTGGACAGAGCACACGGATCAGCCGTGTAAGCTACGGTTTTGGGGCCAGCGCGTGCGAGAAAGGAATGCAACGGCACTGCGCGGTAGGATTGGTCCGGGATCTGTGACCGCGCGTTTCCAGCGTGTGCGCAAATTTTGGTACCATTCCTTGGCCGCTGGGCAGCCTCACCTGGAGAATTATGATCAGATCAGTCCGCTGGTTGTGGACGTAGTCCACGGCTTAGCCCTAGTCAGTTACAGCGCTGGGATCAGCGCGTGCGAGAAAGGCAAGCAGTGGCAGCGGGCTCTGGCACTGCTGAGCGAGATGTGGGAGGAGAGACTGCAGTCAAATGTCATCATCTCTGAAAATATGCGGCTCCTATCTTGATGGAGAGGCTTCTCCCCGAAACGGCATCGGAGGCCCTGGCTGGTCCCTTGGGCACCCCAGAGACGGCCCAAGAGAGGGCCCCAAGACGGCCCAAGATGCCCTCAGAGGCCTTGCGAGGCGCACCACAAGCTTCGGGAGATGCCCGAAAAGAGGCGCCACAGGAGAGGCTAGTGCTGTTATGTGATTCAGCGCTCCGGGCGGGTCTCGGAGTTCCCGAGGGCGGCAACTGCTAGTTTCGCCGACGGCTGATTTCGCTGGGCTGGTTTCGCCCGACTGGGACGCCCGACTGGGTTCGCCGCCCGGCGAAACCAGCTGCCGTCGGCGAAACCAGCTGCCGTCGGCGAAACTGCCCGATTCGACCCGCCCGCTACGGTCCGCCTTCCCGACCCGACCCGCCCGTTGGGGTTCGCACGTGCTCGGTAGAGCGTGCCCAACACTTTCGTATCCCGCCCGCCCAACCCGACCCGCCTGTTAGGGTCCGCCCGCCCGACCCGACCCGACCAGCCCGCTAGGTTCCGCCCGCCCGACCCGACCCGCCGGTTGGGGTTCGCGCGTGTTCGCTCGAGCGCGCCCCCCACACACTACTGTCCCGCCCGCTCGACCCGACCCGCCTGTTAGGGTCCGCCCGTCCGACCCGACCCGAACCGCCCGCTAGGGTCCGCCCGCCCGACCGACCCGACCCGCCCATTAGGGTTCGCGCGTGTTTGGTAAAGCGTGCCCAACACATTAGTGTCCCGCCCGCTCGACCCGACCCGCCCGTTAGGGTCCGCCTGACCCGACCCCAACCGACCCGCCCGTTCGGGTCCGCCAGCCCGACCCGACCCGCCTGTTAGGGTTCGACGCCCGACGCCGGACGCCCGACGACGACGAAGACGACGACGACGACGACGACGACGACGACGACGACGATGACATCGACGGCGCCGACGCCGACCCCGACGGCGACGGCGACGACGACGGCGTCGGGAAAACCAGCGCCAGTGAAACCAGCGCCGGCGAAACCAGCCGCCGTCGAAACCAGCGGCTGGCGAAACCAGCGGGGCGAAACCAGCGCGGGCGAAACCAGCGCTGGCGAAACCAGCCGTCGGCGAAACCAGCGGGGCGAAACCAGCGCCAGCGAAACCAGCGCGGGCGAAACCAGGTCATGCCCCGAGGGCAGCGCCAAGAGGGCCCCGAGACAGTCCAAGATTGTCCTCCCCAGACGCTTCCAGGGCTGCTCGAGGCGACCACAGAAGCCCCAAAGGCGCCCCCAAAAGCTTCCCCAGCTGGCCCCAGGAGGGCCCTCAGAATGTGCAGAAAGGGCCGTCGGTGGGCCCCAAGACGGCCCTGGAGAAGCTTGAGTTGGCGAAGGACGCCCTGGAGAGGGCGCCAAGACGGCCACAGGAGAGCCCCCCGAGGGCCCCGGTGCGCCACAAGATCGCCCCAGAGGGCCTCGGAAGGCACCAGTACAGTCCAATAGAGCCATTGCAGCCATTGTTCCCACAGCAGTTGCAATCAGCAGCAGTCAGCAGCCGTAAGAAGAATCACTGTCTTCAGCACGCAGCAGCAGCAAGCGTCGGCAGCACGCATGACTTGTAATATGAAGCATCACGCAGCAGCCATCAGCAGTCTTCGGCATCCGGCTGCATCAGCAAGCATGGCTAGCAAGACGCAGCACCCTGCAGCAGCAAGCAGCAACTGCAAGCAGCATCAACACGAAGCACTCGGCAGCAATAGTAAACCACAGCAACGGCAAGCAGCGGCAGCCAGCATCAACACGCGATACATATAACTAGCAAACAGCAGCAACTTGCAGCCACAATCAGCAACAGCAATCGGCAGTGGCAAGCCTTTCAGCAGCACGCAGTAGCATTTCGCAGCAGCACGCAGCAACACGCATCAGCACCAAACAGCATCAAGCAGCAGCAAGCACCAGTCAGCAGTGGCAGCATGCAGCGCGCAGCAGCAAACAGCAAGCTGCCCCCAGCATCAGAAGCGGCAGTAAGCGGCAGCGAGTGGACGATGAAGCAGCGAAGCATCCACGGAAGCAAGCGCAGCATGCATGGCACATCTGTCAGGCCACCGTGCCAGCAACCTCACAAAGCAGCACGGCGGGCAAGCAGACGAGCAGGCACGCGGCTCCGAACGAGCAGGCTCTCGTTTTACGGCAGTCCACGGGCAAGCCCCCCAGTCACTGCTGCAGTGGCGCCGACCGTCCCCGCGCAAAAAGGGGAGGAGGAGGAGGAGGAGGAGGGAGGAGGAGGAGGAGGAGGAGGGAGGAGGAGGAGGAGCAGGAGGAGGCGGAGGAGGAGGAGGAGGAGGAGGAGGAGGAGGAGAGAGGAGGGAGGAGAGGAGGAGAGAGGAGGAGGAGGAGGAGGAGGAGGAGGAGGAGGGAGGAGGAGGAGGAGGAGGAGGAGAGGAGGAGGAGGAGGAGGAGGAGGAGGAGGAGGGAGGAGGAGGAGGAGGAGGAGGAGAGGAGGAGGAGGAGGAGGAGGAGGAGGAGGAGGAGGAGGAGGAGGAGGAGGAGAGGAGGGAGGAGGAGGAGGAGGAGGAGGAGGAGGAGGAGGAGGCAAACAAGGGGTCCGGAGGCATCGCAACGGCCCCCATGCACCGCTCCGGCCGCGCCCTCCGAGCCGCCAAGGTATTCGGCGTGGCCCCCGAGGGTCCGGGCCGGCCCGCGGCGGCCCGAGCGTTCTCCGAGACCGTCCAAGGTGGCGCCTCGACACGGCCCAGGAGGCGCCCACGGCTCGCCCGGAGGAGGGTCCCCAAGGTGGCCTCCAGATGCAAGACTCGTATAGATCTCCCCCGGGTCGTTCACCGACTGCCGCGGTCCTCCCGGCTCGCCCCCGCGGCGGTCCCGAGACGGCTCCAGAGGACTTCAGAAAGGCGTGCACCGGCCAACAGGCAAGAGGCGGGTACGCCCCGCAGCGACGAGCGCAGATTGTACAACATGTTCCACACGTGGTATAGCCATGTACAGCAGATCCGGTTTGCGAAGTCTTGCTCATTGCTCCCGTGTCGTCGTGAAAACAAGAAATCACAGTCCAAGCCAGGAGGGGCCCGAGCGAGCCCCAGGAGGGGCCCACGGCGGCCCTGGGAGATGAGCTGCCTCTTCGAAGGCTGCTCAAGGTGGCGGATCAGAGAGCCCTCGGCTCCTGTGGGCTCCTCGGGCTCGTGGCACCTCACACGCACAGCCCGCAGGTTCCACGACCCTCAGATCCGCACAGCCCGCAGGTGCACACTTATCAGTTACAGCGCTGGGATCAGCGCGTGCGAGAAGGGCGAGCAGTGGCAGCGGGCTCTGGCGCTGCTGAGCGAGATGCGGGGGGCGAAGCTGGAACCCAACGTCATCTACACTACAATACCTGGGCGTCGCGTACTGAGCGGGCGAGAAATGGGGTGGGGGCAACGAGGGCTGCAGAGAAGGGGCCCTCTTGGGGCCCCCATAGAGGCTCTTTAGGACCCGAAAGGTGGCCCTGGTGGCCCGTGAGGTGCACCTTTCTCCCTCCCCCACTCTTCGGATGCAATCCCCGTGAGGTCGACTGCGGAATCCGGCGCGGTCCCGCTGCATCCCGCTATACCCCTGGCCTCCTCCAGCGCAGCGGCCCCCCGAAAGGGGGAGTCATGCCCTGACCTTCCAGAGCGCTTAAAGATTAGCACTCCAGACCTATAAATCTAGCTGGACTGCCTCAAGCCTCGACAGGAATTCTTGACGCTTAGCGTATCCCCACCAGCCCATCCTACACCAGGCACTCGAACGAAGAGCGCCGATGATCGTCGCAGGCGATTTCTCTCCCCCGTTCCCCGACTTCCGCCAGAAAAGTTTGGTCGCTCAGAAAAGGGGAGGAATCTTGGGATACATCCCGAGGGGGCTATTCGGACGCACCCCTGTCGAGGATGGACGCCCCCCCCTCGTATATCCCAGGGTTGGGCCCCAAATTGTTGATCCTCTCGAAAACCTCACGGAGCCTGGGATAGGGGTCGACGCATCCCCTGTTAGATCGGCAGCATTCTCCTCCCCTCTTCCTCCTCCTCCGCCCCCTCTCCTCCTCCTCTCCTCCTCCTCCCTCCTCCTCCTCCTCCTCCTCCTCCTCCTCCTCCTCCTCCTCCTCCTCCTCCTCCTCCTCCTCCTCCTCCTCCCTCCGCCTCTCCTCCTCCTCCCTGGTGGCGTATTGGAAGTGTCTTCGAACGTTTTGGTGGGCTCTTGGGCCTTGCGGGCGGGCGGGCGGCGCTCCGCCCGCCCGCGCGCAGGGCCCAAGAGGGGGTCCAAGACGTCTCTCGGAGCCATCTTGGAGGAGATCGATCAACGAAGGGGGGTTCCTAAATTTCAGCCCCCCCCTCAGGAGCCACGATCCTCGTGAGGGGTGTCGAATTTTAGCCCTCCCAGGGGTCGATCTTGGACGCTCTGACCGATCGCGGCCCCCCCTGTCCAGGTCAGTGGGGAGGGGGTAGGGGGAGGGGTAAACCCCTCCCCGAAGGGGAAGAAGGAGGGGTGGAAGAGGAAACGCTCTAAACCACCGACGCCCAGAGGGCTGGTGGGATTAGGACGTCGACGTCCTGGTGCTATTGTTTAGCCCTCCTGGAAGGTCAGGGTTCTCCCCAATCCTTCCGACGAAGGCCTTCCAACAGCTGCCTCCTCATTGAGGGCCCCCTGAAGGCTGCCTCTGGGGCCCGCGAGGCGCACCGCTGACCCCCCCCCCCCCAATTAACAGTGGAAGCCCACGCCAAGACACGCCCTTGCCTCCAGGGTACAGTCGGGGCCCTGAAGAAGGAACCCTTTTCGTTGGGAGGGGCTCCGTGTTCCCTGATTGCTTCACAGTTTGCCTTGGATTTTCCTTTGGTTTTCGATGGGAAATCGGAGTTTAACTTGTGGGAAAAAGGGGCCCCGTTCCTTATTTATCGTTCCTTAGGTCAACGCCCCGACTGTACCCTTTGCTTCTCGGGTCTTGATGGTTTTGCTACGGCAAGCGTGACATGCCCACGCCAAGAAAATCATGGACGCCCTGGGGTCTCAGGGTCGGGTTTATTGTGGGAGGTTTCGTGCGGTCGAGCTCCTACTGTGTCGCCCCCCCCCTGGAAGCAACCCCAAAGAGGCGGCCTGCCCCCCCTGTCCTAGGTCCGACTGTATTTTTCCAGCTTGTCATCCTCGGCCTACTCCGACGTAGCAGCCCCCAAATGGGGCTCACTTCTCCTTAATCCTTCCGACGAAGACCTCCCAGCACTTGTCTCCTAACCTAAACGGCCCCTTAAGGGCCCAGAAGTTGGCCTGTGGGGCCCGAGAGGAACACCTTTCTCCCCCCCACGCAGTCGGACCGAGGTCTGAGATGGAGGTCGGTTCAGGGAGGGTACCCTGACGTTCTTTGTGTTTGTCGGATGTTCCTGCGCATCCTGGGGAGGGAGTGCCCTTGGATTGGATGCTCTGTGTGTTTTGGCCAGCGGCGGGCCTCGTGTTCTTGGAGGAGGCTCTCATTCAAGCAGAGGCGTAGCTTCCTGGCTCACCGATAGTCCCACCAGGGAATGCTCTGAGAACCCGTTGTGGTCTGCACGAAATGTCCTCAGAACATGTGTTGTTCATGCTGTATTGTTTTCACATCGGGTTTATGTTCTAAGCGCACCAGTCTTGTTCTCAGAACATTTGCGGGTTCGAAAAAAAACATTTCGTGGTAGGTCTAGGCCTATGGGAATGCCGGGACTGTCGGTCCCTGCTCAAACCCTACCTACAGGTCCGACTCTATTGCTCGACCTGTGCCCCGTGTACACCTGAGGCGCGTGTACACGGCGACGCCCAAAAAGTGCGAAGCGACGCCCAAAGAAGTGAAGCGACGCCCAAAAAGTGCCCCGTATACGAAGCGACGCCCAAACAGTGCCCCGTGTACACCTCCGGCCCAGGCCCCGGCCCCCGGGGGCGGCGGCGTCTCCTCGGCCTCGCTCGAAGGGGGGGGGGCCTCGCCGCCCTCGCTCGGGCGAGCCCCTGGCACGCCGCACAGGGGAGCTCTCACCCTGACCTTCCAGAGCGCTAAAAAATAGCACTCCAGACTTATAGATCGATCTGGACTGCCTCAAACCTCGACAGGCATTAGGACGTCGACGTCCTGGTGCTATTTGTTAGCCCCCCTGGAAGGTCAGGGCAGCAGACCCCGCGTCGGAAGCTGGAGCACCTACAGTACCAGTGGCAGGCTGTGTTTCCCCAACCAGTGCTTGCACTGAAGGGGTCCTAGCGGAAGCTGCAAGATTTGGCGAAAGTTTCCCGCCGATGTTGGTAGCAGGCTGGGTTCCGGGCTCCCCGTTCCGGGTTCCCGGGTTCCCGGTCATAGGTTCCGGGCCGATTTCGGTGGGTTCTGGGTTCCAGGGCTCCCGGGTTCCCGGTCGATCTCAGACGACGTTGGGGGGGTGCGGTGTATACTTGTTTCCCTCGCTTCCCCGGGGAACAACAAAACATGTGTACACCAGGATCCCGCATACCCCAGGATCCGCTCTTCTGGGCGAAAGCGTCGTTTTATAGAGTTGGGCTCGTTACCGAGGAGGATCCATGAACCTCCCCCTCAGAAGCGGAAACTGTGGCCATCGAGAATTCGAAGGACAAAGATCAGCAGAACCATCAATTTTCGGCGCTCTGCGCGCCAGGGGAGGGTCCAGGCCAGATCCAGGAAGTCCGCGCGGACCGCCAACAGCTTATGTTTATGCCTTTTCTTGTTCCTCCAAGGAGGGGAAGCGGTGGTCAATCACCGAGCGCGTTCCACTACTCGCAAAGTGCCTACTCGCAAGCGTCAGAAACAAAACACATGTTTGCTTTGATGTGATGTATCGTGGATCCCTCGCGGGGGGACCATTCGCGAGTAGTTACTTTGCGAGTAGTGGAACGCGCTCGTCTAGTAATAGACAATAAAAGACCCCTAACCCTGATAGCACAACGAAGACGCAGCCTCGCTGGGGTCCCCGTCTTTGCGTTAGGGGTCATAAATTATGGGTGGTTTGCTTCGGCGCATCTGCAGAAAATAATGCTTTGGCCTCCTCAGGTCCGCTTCCCAAGGGTTAGGGGTACTTGTATTGCGTATCATGCTGGCTTCCGATCGGTTTTCGAGGCAATTTCTCACACTCGATCCTTCGGGCCTCAGAGCGCCCAGAAGACGGCTGCAGAGAGGCCCAGGAGCTCGCCCCCCAGCTCGGCCGAGGCCGCCTCCGAGAGGGCCCCCGAGAGGGCCCGAGACTGCCCTGGAGGTCAGACAGCCCCCCTGGACGCCTTCAATCGGCGGCGAGCCCGGGGGGAAGCAAAACAGGGCTAGGATCGGGATAAATCGCTCCAGAGCGTTCCGGAGCGCTCTCAGAGCGTTCCGGAACGCTCTGGAGCGGCCGCGGCGCCCAATACATCTTCCAAACCCGCCGACTCTCAGAGATTTCGAGTTATCCGATCCGATTTTGTCCCGATCTTCGCGTCGTTTTAGGAAGCGAGAAGGGGCGGGCCTTCTCAGAAGGCTCGGAAGTCCCCCGGCCTTCTGAGCAGTTGTCCAAGCTTTCCCCGACGACACTGAAAGTTCTCAGAAGGCGCTAGGGCTTCTGAGAAGTCCCGCCTCATCGTGAGAAGGCCTTCTCCTTCGCACCTTCCCCCTCGCTCGCCGCCGACTCGCGCGGCTTTCAGAAGCCTAAGAGACATCCCTAGAGGAGCCCCGAAGAGGCTCCCAGAAGCCCCGCAGGAGCCACAAAAAAAGCTTTCGAAAGACCCCAAGTGGCCTGGCCTACCATAGCCAATCAGGCGCATCGCAGCTAAGAGGGTCGAAACGCGATCGGAACGAAAATCGGAACCTGGCTGGAAGAACATTGGAGGAGGGGCGACATGCGATTGGAAAGCAACTCGGACAATGACCGGTGGAAATACGAGAAAGGTGGAACCAGACAGTCCAAGAGGGCCCCAAGACGGCCCACGAGGCCCCCAAGACTGCCAACGACGGCCCCACGAGGGGAAACTCGAACTGACACTTCGCGCCCTTCGCCCCGAGGTGACCCCCGAGGCCGCCAGCTGGCCCAAAACATGCTCCCCAGTAGCCCCGAGGCCCGCGAGATGCCCCAATCAGGCTCCAAGAGGCCCCCAAGAGCCCCCAAGACACCCCCAACGCCACCACCTCCAAGAGGCTTCCCAGGGAAGATCCCTTCATCAAGAAACTCTCGGACCGCGCTTGCAGCCCCAAGAGGACCAAGATCGTCCCAGGTTGGCCAAAGACGCCCTCTCCGACAGCCCCCTTACCCACCGAAGACCCAGTCTCAAAGGTAGCCCGGGAAGCCCCACAGAAGGCAAGAGAAGGCACAGTTTCAGACCAGGAGAGCCCAGCTACAGAATCCAGCAGAAGCAAACACGCCAGGAAGCAAGCAACACTGGCCATCAGCAGCACCCTGCAGCCACAAGTCACAAGTAGCAACAACACAGCAGCGGCAAACATTACCAACAGCCCGCAATAGCGGCAGCAAGCAGCAGCATGAGCGGAATGCGAGGTTCGAGATTTCGTTAGTGTTTCAGTGTTTCGGGGGCATGTCCACAGTCATATGCCAGTTCGAGCAGATTTCGTGGACGTAGTTAGTCCACGGGTCAGCCCTGGTCAGCTACGACGCTGGGATCAGCGCGTGCGAGAAGTGCAAGCAGTGGCAGCGAGCTCTGGCGCTGCTCAGCGAGATGCCGGAGATGAAGCTGGAGCCCAGCGTCATCTCTCGATTCTAGGGCCGGGGCACCGCGTGTAGGCTGACGCTCAAGTGGGCACAACTTGACCTTGGCGCGACCCCAGGCGGCCCTGGGACGCTCCCAGGGCCGCCAAGACGCCCCCCGAGAGTCCCAAGATGACCCCAAGACGGCTCACGAGAGGCGCCGCTAAACCGTCCCCAGCATCGCTTTCAAACGGCCCATGAGAGATTGAGACGTTCGTACGGTAGGTTCGCGTCGTGTCGACCGGCGGCGACCCCGCCGCCAGCGTTCAATTTTGAACGCCGCCAGCAACTCAGAATCGGCCCATCCTTGAACGATTCGGCGTTTCTGAAGCGGCAGATCGTTCTCAAGGTTGAGCGATAGGAACCAACGTTGGGGTCGAAACGACGCGAACCTGAGGTGTGCTGCCCGCTTCTCAAGCCTCTCTGCACGCTCCTCGCTCCTCGCCGCTCTCTCCTTGCTCTTCGCACCTCGCCGCCCTCTCCTCGCTCCTCGCTCCCCGCTTCGCCGCCCTCTCCTCGCTCCAAGCCTCGCCGCTCTCTCCTTGCTCCTCGCCGCCCCCTCTCTCTCTCTCTTTCTCTCGCTGTGGCCCCTGCCCCTGGCACATACCTTCTCGATCACCATCGCTCTCCTCCGCTGGCCCCCTCGCCTCTCCTACGTCTCCGCCGTGGACTGCGGGCGCCTGCCTCCTCCCCTCCTCCCTCCTCTGCTCTCTGCTCCTCGCCTCTCCCTCTCTCTCTCTCTCTCTCTCTCTCTCCTCGCCGTCGCTCCTCTCGTCTCCCTCCTTGCTCCTCGCTGATCTCTCCTCGCCTCTCCCAGCTCCGACCCGCCCCTCGATCCTGAGATCCTCGCTCCTCGCAGCGCTCGCGACGATCGGCAGGCCGCGCCACACACCCACGGGAGGGCCGAGTAACGCAGCACCCTGCAGCCTCAAGAACCGGCAGCGGCAGCGGCAGCAGGCCGCAGCAAGAGCAGCGGCGGCACACCGCAACGGCAGGCAGCAGCAGCGGCATGCTGCGGTTAAGTCGGGCCTGTCCCTCTACAGGGGGACTATTCAAAAAAATAGTTTAAAAACAGTCTGGGGACGATGTTTTGACAATGTTTGATTATGTTTGAGGTATTTCGGAGGTATTTTTGATTTGTGTTCAAAATCCGCCTGTAGGGGGACATGCCCGAGCTAATGCTACGGGCAGCAGCACCTTTTTGTGGGCCCTGGCAACGACGGGGCCGTTCTTTTCACCGCTTCCGTTGTGCCGTTCCTTGTGCCCATTCCGACGCCGTTGTTGTTCTTGCCACTTCCGTCGCCGCTTTTTGTTACCGGCTCCGTTTTGCCGTTCTTGACAATTTTGGTGGTCCCCAAACGTGGTGGTGAGAACACCCGGTGGTGAGTTTTGGGCGCTTTGGGTAATGGTTTTCGAGCGCTGGCTGGCCCAGGAAACGCAAAACCTCGTGGCGACCGCGTGTCCCCAAACCCGGTGGTGACCCAGAATTATTTTTTGGGGGAATCGGGGTCACCACCGGGTGTCTCACCACCTGGTTTGGAGACCACCAACAATTCCGACGCCTTTTTTGTTGCCAGTTCCGTCGCCGTTGTTTTTCCTGGCTCCTGCTCCGGTTCCGGTCCCGGGCCTCCCCTCTCGCTCCTCGCTCCTCGTCGCTCCGCTCCTCTCTCTCCCTCCTCGCTCCTGGCGCCTCTCGGCTCACTCTTCCTCGCTCCTCCCACCTCTCTCCTGGCCCCGCGTCTCTCTCGCTCTCTCTCTCTCTCTCTCTCTCTCTCCCCATCTCTTTTTTTTTCTCTCTCTCTCTCTCTCTCGCTCTCTCTCTCTCTCTCTCTCTCTCTCTCTCCGTGGCGTCAGCACAAGACGGGAATCCGCGCACCGCACCGAACTTCATACTATACTGACAGCACGCCCCTCACCACCCGCCCGCATGCCTCGCCGAACGCATCCCGCCATACTCGTTGTCAGATCTTGCCCCCCAGAAGCTCTCGGACGCCGCACGTGACGAGCCTCCCCTGGACTCGACGAGCAGACGGCGAACACAGGTCTGAGCTCGTCTTACGCCGTAGCTCCTCACCCCGTGCTCCCCTGAACCGAGGCAAGATCCCTCAGCACCGCCCGAACACAGACACAAACCCGAACACAGGCGGCATCGCGCCAGCGGCACGCCACGGCGCAGCTCCCGCGGCCGTGCATCGACACCTGCACACGGCATTCCACCGAGGTCCGAGCACGCGTGCGCGCACCCACGGTGGACTCACGACAGGCACTGGGCCGCACCCGGCGCCGTCCGCAGACCGCCCGCCGAAGCGGTGGCCCAAGCAGTCTGGCCTCGCCCTTCGCTGCCCCGCCCGCACACTGCCCCAGGCCAGCAGGCATGGGATCGGGTACGCTGGCCAGCATACGAGCAGGAACGCTTGATATCGAGTTGCGTGAGCAGCAGGCTAGCAGCCATGCGCGCAGGGCAGCGCGCAAGCATGACAGCAGGGCAGCGATGTCCACTCTGCGTGCGAATCAGCTGTCGTAGACGCACGTGGACGTAAGTCCACGGGAGCGTCAGCTACAACGCTGCGATCTGCGCGTGTGAGAGATGCGGCCAGTGGCGGCATGCGTTGTCGCTGCTCAGCGAGATGCGGGAGGGCAATGTGGAGACGAACAAAATCAGTTACAATTTGTGCATCACATCTTTTGAGAGGTCGTCTCGCAACTCGGCAGGATTCCCAGGCTATCTTGGGATAGGTCTTTCGCGTTTTCGCGTGTCCTGCGAAGCACTGTGCGTGTGGGAGCTTGCTGGGCAAACACCGTGATTACGTGGACGGACATCCGGATTTTGAATTTGACAGCGGCGTTCCATCACGCAGGAGGCCGTTCCCGCTAACATTACACAGATCCGCCCTGGTTGGCTACAGCGGTGAGATCTGCGAGAGAGAGGCGTGCAGTGAAAGCAGGTCATGCCGTTGCTCGGCGAGATGTTGACTGTGAAGTTGGATCCCAATGCTGACAGCTGCTCAGCGAGTTGCGGGATGCGATGTCGGAGCCCAAGGCCATGTGTACCAATCCTGCGTGAATCGCGTGCCAGATGTGAGCGCAGTGTACCAGCTCCCTGGCCCCGACACCAGCCCAGGCGTCCCAAGGACGTAGCACGTGGCTCTCAAGACACCCAGTGCCCAGCACGAGGGCCCCTTTTGTGAGCTCACGATGCTGCAAAGAGAGGGTCCACGATTGCCCCAGGATGCCGCCTCCGAGGGCCCCCGAGGCCGCTCCTCAAGCCTCCCTCCGCGCTTCCCTCTCTTTGCTCCTCGCTCCTCGCCTGTTCTCCTGGATCCGAAGGAGAGAGAGAACGGCACAACCATGAATTTTGGGGGTGCTCGCGCGCGGATCTCTTGGATCCGCGCTGGGCCCCCCTCCCTGGCGAGCGGAGCGCGCCCAGGGCGGCGCCGGAGGCCCCGCCCTGGGGGGCCCGGCGCAGATCCCAGAAACCCGCGCGGAGCACCGAGAGTTGATGTTTGTGGCGTGTTCTCTTCTTCTGTGGGTCCTCTCTGAGCCCTCGTCCCTCCCACCTCCACCCTCGAGCCCGACTCCTCGTTCCGGGCCCTTCGCACTCGTTTTTCCTCGATCCTCTCGCTGTGGATCCTCGCTGAGCCCTCGCCCCTCCCACCTCCACCCTCGAACCCGACTCCTCGTTCCGGGCCCTTCGAACTCGTTCTTCCTCGATCCTCTCGCGAGCAGCGGCGGCTGCGTCAGCGAAGCAGCAGGGAGCGTAGAGCGGCAGCACCCTGCAACCTAAGGATCGCCGAGGATAGAAGAGCCCCTGACCGAAAGTCGGGCACGTCCCTGTGCAGGAGGAATATTCAAGGGGGACGAGGTATCGATCATTTTACACTTTGTTTGAATATGGTTTGACTTTGTTCTTTCATTTGTCCAAAATCAGCCCGTAGAAGACACGCCCGACCTAACCCTAACCCTAATGACACGATGAAGACGTAGCCTCACTGAGGTCCCCGTCTTTGCAACAGGGATCATCAACCTGGGCGGTGTGGCTTCATACACCTGCAGGAAGAGACCCCCTGTGCTTAGTGTCGTTGGCCCTCCCAACTCAGGTCGTCTCCTAAAGGGTCAGGGGCCTTACAGTGCAGGCCCATGCCAAGAAACACCCTGCTTGCCTCCAGGGTGCCCTGGGTTCCATGGGTTTCGACGGTTTTGCGATGGAGAGCATGACGTTCCCACACCAAAAATCAATGGACGTCCTGGGGTCTCAGGGTTGGGTTTCTTGTGTAAGGTTTCTTGTAAACTGACCTCCACGGTATCATTGCTGAGCATACGTAGGGAGCAGAAGCAGCCAGCAGCAGTGCGCAGTTAGCAGCGGGCACCACTGGCGGCAGAGCGCAGGAAAAAGCAGCAAGCAGCAGCGTGGAGAGCAGGCAGCAGCGCCCTACGGTTGTGTCGGACATGTCCTCCGACAGGCGGAGTTGGGTTGAAACTTGACAGATATTATGTTAAAACGTCGAGCAACAAAACTACAAATAATCAGAGCATCGCCCCCGCATTTCCTTTTCCACGTTTCTTGAACAGTCCCCTCGTAGAGGGACACGCCCGCCTTGCCCCTGCTGCCGCAGGCAGCAGCAGCAGCAGCAGCGCCGCGGGCCCGGCCTGGCAGCATCACGAGAGCCTTCCCTCGGGGGCGGCAAAGAGGGGGGTGAGGACGAAGGGGGGGGATGACTACCATGGCGGGGGCCATGGTATTTTCTCGGATCTCATGGCGCCTCTTCTTACTTCATTACGTCCCTGGCCCCCCCCGCTGGGCCGCGCACATGCCTCCAGTCATGATTTGCACCCCCCCCCCCCTCTTGGACACCCCCGTTCTTGGCCGCTCCCGGAGAGGAGGAAGAGGTACCCATACCTCTACCCTTTCCTCGTGTTCCCCTCTGTGGGCCTCCTCGTGGACCCTCGTCGCCACCGCTGGACCCGCCTCGACGTTCTGGTCAGAACGCACCCCGGGAGGGGTCCAGGGAGTAGCGGTGTCGGTACTTGTGTTCGGATGTTGTTAAAGGTGTCCCTGGGCCGAGGCGTCCCGAGGGGCGCCACGTATGACCTCGCGCCTTGCGTTCAGATCAGCGCCTCCGCGTTGAAGCGGCGTGCAGTGTTCCGTCCTGAACGTACATGATGCTAAAACCTTTGCGCCAGATGCTCGCCTTGTGCTTTCCAGGAGTGCTTCGGTTCGGGCCCCAGGTGAGAACGCCTTCTTGAAAGGGGCCGCCCAGTCATATCGTCCGCCGTCGTCCAAACATCGCGAAGCATCGAGAGTGTCAATGGTGCGCTCGGCCGGGGGATTCGGGCAACTTCGCAGGCATGCTCATGGAGACACCCGCCGACGTTATGTCTGCGCCGGCCGCGGGCGCGGAACTACGTTGTAGAATCTCGTTTAGCGAGCGTTGTTTCGTGCATAGGGGCATGGGTGGGTTTGACCGTGGAGGAACTATTCACAGCTTAGAGAAGTAAGTCAGAGTGAGGAGGCCGAGCGGTCTTACGGTGTCCCTGGGTGCGTGGCTGAAGTGGGGATCCACGGTGAGGATTATGATTGCAGTTGTTTTTGTTACTGTTGCCGGCGTCCCGGCGGTTTGGCCGCGGCGCGGATGGGTCGCGGCGCGGGCGGGTCGCGGCGTGGGTGGATCTCGGGTGGTTTGCGGCGCCGACGGGTCGCGAATGGGTCGCGGGTGCGTTGCGGGTGGGTCGCGGCGTGGGCGAGTTCTTACGGTCCCCGCAGTGACAGCTCCAAGAGGGATACTGGTCACGCAAGGCAGGTTTCGCGTGGCCGTTTTGGGGGTCCTCTCGGGGCGGTCTTGTGACCCTCTTGTAGCCGTCGGAAGGGCCCAAGGGGGCCCCAAGACGGTTCCAACAGGGTTCCAAGACGGTTCCAAGAAGACCCCAAGAGCGGTCACGCGCAGTCTCTCTTGCGTGACCGATTGTTGGGCCCTCTTCCCTTTGGGAGCCTTCTTGGGGCCGTCTTGGGCCCTTCCCAAGGCCCTCGGAGGGGCCCAAGAGGGCCCCGAGACAGTTCCAAGAGGCCCCCAAGAGGGCCCCACGAGTGGCCCAAGATCAGCTTAAAGCAACCTAAACTTCCCAAACGATTGAATAACGCAGACAAAAACTCCAGACGCAGATGCCCTTTTGAAAAATCACTTGTCCGGAGGGTGACTTCCAAAGAAGGTAAGGGGCCGCTCCACGCCTTGGGGAGGGAGTTCGGAGGAGCCTGGAGGAGCTCGGAAGAGTGTGCTGGGGAGTACCGCCCCCCTGGCGGTTACGGCCCGCAGGGGCTGCGACGACCGCTGAGGAGTCTTAATCTGAGGTCGTCGTCGCCGCCGCCGCCGTCGTCGTCGTCGTTGCCCGAGAACCACCCAAGAGGCCCCCAACAGCATGCCTAGGGGCCTGCGCAGAATCTAAGCGTAACAGGCGTTTGACGGCCAGACGTCTGGCCAGAAGGAAATTCGAAGAGGCCACGACAACCGTTGAAGGGTCTTCATCCGAGGTCGTCGTCGTCGTCGTCGTCGCCCCGGAACCGCCCGAGAGGTCCCCCAAAGCTTCCCCGGGGGCACGCCCACAATCAGAATCGTAACAGGCGTTTGAAGGTCAGACGTCCGGCCGAAACTTTTCGGAGCGTTCCCAGGCGCCGCCCAAGACCCGCATGAAGCCCCGGGGTAGGCCCAAGCAGGCCCCAAGAGGCCCCAGAAGGGCTTTCAGAGCAGCTCCAGGTGGACTCCAAGAGAACCCACCAGCAAGTGGAGTGACGCCACTTGCCTGTGGATTTTCGCTGGGCCCACTTGGGGCCCTTCGGAGCTCTCCGAAGCGTCGCCTCAGTCCCGGCTGAAGCCCCAGGGGGAGCAGGAGCGGGCCCCACGAACCCGCAACGGGGCTTCCCAGACGGGTTGATGTGCATTCCGAGCGAGCCCAACGGCAGGCGGAGTGACGCCAGTTCCTGTTGGGCCTTCTTGGGGTGCGCTCGGGGCCCTGTCGGAGCCTCCCAGCAGCGTGCCTGACTTCTGCCTGGAGCCCCGGGGCAGTCCCTGGGCTCATCGTCCGCGTTCGATTCTACATGCGATCGGACAGGCACTCCTCCAAAATGTCAGATGCGGCCAACGTCATTTTCATTCATCCACACTCGATGAGTAATGCGACCAGAAGATATGTTTCCTTCTGTGTCGCAGGCACGCCCTACAAGGACTGCCCCCCTCAACGTCGAGAACGGTGACACACTACAGGTACACAGTATCAGCTACCGTAGGTTTCTCGACCGCCCTCAGGTACACGATCAGGTACACTACCATTATAGGAACACGCTGTCATCTACAGGTCACACGCACATCCCGCAGCTCACACTATCACTTACAGCACTGGGCTCAGCGCGTGCGAGAAGGGCGGGCAGTGGCAGCGGGCCCTGGCGCTGCTGAGCGAGATGCG